CGAATTCGCAGCCCGAATACTTGCCACGACGTCACAAATTCGCGTTCGCTTTCGCTTTCGCGCCGAGTATGAACCGGGCTTTAATAAGAACCCACTGTTTGGACTTGGCGAAGGTTCGCCAACTTAGCGATTTCGCAATTTAGCGAAAGCTTTGCTGGAACCTTCGTGAATACTACGCATCGCTAAGCTAGCGATTTATGGATTTCAGATTTGCATGGCTTTGCGCCCGATCTGGTGTCGAAGTCTGTCAAGCCAGCTAATTATATTTTTGAATATGCATGAGTCTACATTTTTGGTCTCTATTGTTGAATTCTGATAAGTGATAACTGCATAACCATGTTAATACGGAAGACGGATAGTGCCACTCAATAAGTGTGAATATATATTTTTTGGGTGCGTGTGAAAATATTATAGCGGCCGCCACTTATTGTGTGGCGGCCGCCAGATAATAAGTGGAGGCCGCCACATAAATCGTCATAATAAGTGGCAGCCGCTGTACAAAAAAAAAATGTATTCACACTTTTTAAGTGGCGGCCGCCAGATAATACTTTGGCCTACTTTAGGCCTACTTATAGGCAAATTCTCACGTCAAATTTTAGGACAGATAAAGTTTTTATGGTGTATAAAACCTTACCCTACATGGCGGATCATTTTGTAAAGGGGGTTAGCGGTGGATAGACCAAAGACCTAAAGCAATGACTAGAGATTGTATGACGCGTGTTATTTCACGAATCTTAGGGACATCGGGATATTCTACCCAGTTGGCATTTTCCAGACGGAAGATGATGGTTACTCATCCCAACCATCCCCATAACCCACCACTGCCTAATGACCCCCATAAAAACACGTTTTAGCTTAAAGAACAAATGGAGACTTAAAAGTACAGTTCTTTTTTAAAGTCTTTTCAAAATTCGTTCAGTTTTTAACAAGCTTAAAAAACACTTTTCTAAATCATATCAGTATACGGCTTGAGTGATTCTTGATGCAAAAGGCATCCTTTTATCAATTAAAATTGAATGTACCGGTTATGTAATTTTGAGAGGGGGTTAATATTGCGGGGAAGACATTTTAAAGCTGAAAAAATCATTCTTATGTAATTATCATTCGTTTAAATGTATTCGTTTTCTTCAGCGTGGTGGAATATTGAGCGTATTATTGATCCAACCCTCCCCAAAACCCAAACAACCATTCCTAAAACGTATCATTGTATTAGTACAATTTCCCCTGCATTGTTACAATACGAATGCACTGTGGATGCACCATTAAATTCAAGTGATTATTAACATTCTAAAGTTTGTTGCCCTCAGGTGCATGGGTAAAACGCAGTACTTGTAGTTGCGAGGGAATCATTCAGTTCTCTTCTGTCAGCACGCGTTCGTGCTTTGTGGCCATTTTGAGTCGGTTGTGTTTAAAAGAAAATCAGAACGCACATGATTCAATAGGGGGGGGGGTGAAAAGATAATAAAGCCCTTAAAACTTGTTTCCCCTCCCCCCCCCCCCCCCACCCCGGGCAAAAGTGCCACAGAAATGTCTATCATGGCAACGTTTTCTGACAAGATCAACCGGTGTTCTCCTCGAAATTTGACGTTTATTTGCCGAGTAAATACTTCATCTATGACGACAAAAACTGCACAATACCATCTATTGTGTCCTAAAGTATTTATTTTGTAACAAGTTTGGAAGAATTGTGTCTTACATAAGGAGTACTTTTGCATACAGTTTTATGAATATTTCCGTTTAAGATATACAAAAACCGACACAATGGCACACCTGGAAAATTCGCGATTGCAAGCCAACGGGTATTAATGCCCGTTATCACGCGTCTAACCAATTAAGGCAAGTCCGCTCAATGCATTTTGTACTGAAGCTCAGAACAGTCGCTTATCCTTGCGTGAAAGGATCCGTGGTCTGTCTGTCCCCGCGGATTGACCATAAATATTTGACCAAAAATTGACCAAATGCCATGCAGACGTTAGTAAATGCACTTTTGACGACGAAAGTTATCTGGAAACGGACTTTTTGTCTCGATCGATGCTCATGTTTGTCTATTTTGCATTATGTCTGCCCGTGAAAATTGACCAAAAACGAGCCCCCTAAGTTTCCCCAAAAATATAACTACCAAATCTTAATTTAAAGAAGAAAAATAAGAAATGAAATATATAGTTAACAAAAATTGTTTGTAACAGTTCGTAAAGTTGTTTATGAAAATTTTGTAAATGGATCAGGCGCGGTTCGAGAGCCTATATTATAGGGGGGGGGGGGCTTGCAGTGGTGGATCCAGACATGTTTGCATAGAGGCTGAAATGTAGACCGGTTTTTTTTTCTCCGGACAGTCCGACACTTAGGCGTCCGAAAATTAATAGGAGGCGGAGGGGGGGGGGGGGGGGGGGGGGGGGGGGCTCGTACCATATTTTCAATGGGAGTGCTGATCGCCGGGGCGGACTTTACGTTTTACTAGCAATACAATGTTCAACAGTTTTCAACAGGGGGGGGGGGGGGAAGGGTTTGACACAAAAACCACCCCCTCTGGATCCGCCCCTGGCCAGCTATAGCGATTTTGTGTTTGTTTGTGTGTGTGTGTGTGGGGGGGGGTATACCGTTCTGGAATTTACTACCTTACGGAGACATGCACACAATAGGGAACAAAAGATTGTATACGTCTCCAGAAGAACATTTCTATAGATGAATACGTCTCCACAAGAATTTCACGAAATAGATATATGGATTTTACTCAAAAACTAGGAATTTCCAAGGTAGGTTGATCCGTCGCAAATGGAAGAGTTTTAGAAAAGGGATATTTAGTCCAAATTTCAGCCCAGGAAATTAATTCAGGTTAAAATAAGAGCATTTTGAAACTTCAATTTCAAACTCGAAAACTTTACTACACGAGAACAAAGAAATGTCTCCACAGGAATACAAATTCCAGAATGGGTGTTCGCATGAGACTTCACCTTCTAACATTCGCTACTGCTATTTCATTTTTTTTTGGGGGGGGGGGCAACTTTTTAAGGGGGCTTTACAAAAAAAAATTCGGGGGGGGGGTGCTTTAGCCTGAAATGGAGGCTAGATAATGTGCAGTAATATGTTATAGTCACGTGGTATATAGCGCGCCATTTTTATGAGCATCTTGGGGATTCTTTTGGTCAATTTTCGGTGCGTGATGTTCGCGTGGGACGGCGGCCCGGGCTTGTACGCACAATTATTTCATGAAAGACATTCATCAGGCATTTTCACTCGATTTAACTCCTGCAGTCCATATAACAGTAGGTCTATACTATAGGTTTTCCCGGCTATTTTAAAACAATTTTCATTCAAATTCACCAACTCTAACATTCAACTTCGTCAGAGAAAAATTTTCCACGCTTTTAACAAAACCAATTTAGTCATTTACCATTCAATTTCAAAGTTTGGTCACCTCCTTAGTCACCGGGTCGAGAATATTCGTCATTACAGATCAAATTCATCTAAGCTGTTGCCGTATGGCAGCATTCAGAGACGAATTTCATTTCTGAATGACAATGTTTGGCGCAGACGAGACGAAATCGAATACTCCGGGACGAAAACGTGTGCTCATTGTTTGAATTTGCTTGAACTGAATTTGAAATTGTCTGACAAAAGACGAAATGCAACATTGGAAGAACACTAAATCGATAATGATAGACGAATTCGAATATTAGAAATGGTGAATTCGAATGATAAACGTTTTAAAATAGCCGAAAAAACCTATATTTGCCCAAATAATGGAATATCTAAATATATTTTTCTGAACTTAAGCACCCAATGCGGAAGGTATATTTAAATAAATTGATTTCCATCGTCTAATTTTCAGCAATATAAATGCTTATTAGAGAGTTCTGACATGAAATGAGAAACCCAAGCTCCAAAACCATAACAACGCACCGTGAATATCGGCATATTTCCCAGTATGCATAATAATGGCCACTTTTGAAGAGCGCTCCCATTTTGAAACACGTCAACATTTCGGCGCGGATGTGCGAGTGCGGTTTGCTCCCCCCCCCCCCTGCATTAAAATCTTGATACGCCACTGAAAAGTATGATGTTGAATGAGTACATAAGCTGTTTCAACGTCACAATCAAACCCTATCACCTATGGGCCTTATTCACCAGTCGGCCATATTGAATTACAAGTGAGGTAAAAATCTTAATTTTTGGAACTTGCGAAGAGAAACGAAAGCAATACAAGTCTAATTAATTCCAGTCTGCTTCAATAAATATTTTTAAATTTGTAATTGAACTTCACCTAATTAATGTTAAAATCCAGATTTTATAGAAATGACAGTAATAAATAAGACTGCATTGTGCCTGCATAAATAGTCCGGCGCCGACCTATTCAACAGTTAACACTTAATGAAATACATTCAGGGAACTCGACAAAAATGGCCAACTCGTGAATAGGGCCCATAGCGTTTGTTCCAAGACATACGCTAAAATCGTATAGATCCTTTGTATTGATAACTTAAATGCAATATAGGCGATTCTGACTATATTCCATGGTCCGTCTAACCCAATCTTGATAAATTGCAAATAATCTTTACATCTTATGATGTCAGTTTAACAGGCTCACTATACAAGCGATCACTTCTATTTACATTAGAAGTACATGTATGATGTATGTTAGGTCAGATTTGAAACTTTGCATGGTGGACGTGGTGGTATGAACTAGTGAAGGTTTGTGGTAACACCATGTAGACATCTCTTTTGGGAAGATGTGTGGTTCTAAAAAGAACCAGTTGGTTGTAAAACTTGACGCTTCTCCTGAAGACGATAAGAGCATACTGATCGGAACGTCGAGATTTGCAACCAACCCGTTCTTTTCGGAACCACACCTTCCCAAAAGAGATGCTTACATGATGGAGTTACCTCAAACCATAGTACATGTATATTGTTTCACGGTCAAGACATGATGACAAAACTCTAAAAGACAAAACAAGTGCACAAGGAACTAAGATTTACGAAGCTTTCTTTTATTTCACCTGCAGATAATGCTGATTGTGGTCCTGATGTCTCAGAGGAATCCTGTTTCAGGTTCAAAGTCCCCGACCAGACAGATGATTCTGTAGTATTCTCTAGCCACATATGGGTTTACGTGACTCACGCACCGGAGGGCGCGTCTGTCTTTGTGGGTCGGCCTGAGCATCACTACGGCAATAAATGGCGCGTCCTTGCCTCCAAGAAACTGTACTCACAAGAGGGCTGGGTGGAGCTGCAGATACCCGTAGACAAGCACAAGTGGAATCGACCTCATCACTACTTCGAGATCAGTACCAAGCCCCTGCATGCAGGCGGGAATAGCACCGTGGCCCGGGACTTACACCATCGCCCGATGCTTCTGCTTGCCAAGGTGAAGAATAGCAGGTCTGCCCGAACAGGCCGCAGCGTGGGGCTATGCACGACCGGCCAGACAAGCTGCTGTATGAAAACCTTCGTGGCCGACTTTGTCGAGATAGGCTGGGATTCCTGGATCCTCACACCACTTTCGTTTAATGCTCGTTACTGTTCAGGGGAGTGCGGTGTTTCTTCTCGGCATTTCCTAAAGGATCACGCTGAGATGATCGCCCTCCTCATGGAACACGACCAAGCTGAGCCTGATATGAGCTTGTGTTGTGTTGCTAATGAAATCAGCGGACTTGCGGTACTCTACTTTGGCGACAGTGATTCTGTACATCAGAGGTTTATTGACGTGGTAGTTGAAAACTGCGGTTGTCTATAGAAAGTCTTTATTCTCTGCTCAAATAATCTGTGGCGCGTCCCATGGTCAATTAGCAAAAAGCATACATTACAATCCTCATCTAAAAACCAAGTGCTGAAATTGGTGTCAATCAGACTTCGCGGACGTGTCCACCATGTAATTAGCTTAAAACGCCTTTTAAAATAATTTCGTTTGATTCTTTGTTTGTTGGGTTGTTGGGTTGGGCGGGGTGTTTGTATGTTTGTTTTTACTTTTAGTTATGTCGCTGCGGTAATAAAGGCTAACTGCATGTAGTAGCATGCATGCAGCGCGATAATAAAACAGCCAAGCTTTCAGTATACAGCTAAATGTAAAACACCATTCAAATGATATATAATTATACTCAGATTAGGCCTTTCCAATTTTATTAGTTGTTTTACGGATTACTTTGATGCTGAGAAGGTCGTCAAGCGGGAAATTAATTGGCTAATGACATGGACATGTACATGTTCGTATACGACATGTACATGTATACGTTTTATCATAAAAATGAATTAGCAAAGGTAAAAGTATCCTTGACACTTTGAATGCTTCGTGAAGTAGTGTGAATGTTCCCAGCTGTGTTTAAGTAGAATCACCTAGGTTTCTTCATTGAAGTTCTCCAACATTGTCTGAAGTTTGAAATAAATTGGATAATTCAAATGTTTGTAACAAACGTACGCATTATTTTATTGTGTAACAAATAAATCATCCGAGCAAGTACAGTAGGCTATTAAATCTTGCTTCATTGTTACGGGCTGGACTTTCTCCCTCATTTCTGGCAATTGGCAGGTAGCCTCATGTAAGTACTTATTTCTTTGATTATCTACATTATTTGCTTCCAGAAAACCTAAGTGATCCAATTTTTTTCTTTGAACCGAGAATTTCATTCTCTCTCTACAAGACAAGGTATTCTCATTTATTATAGAATAACTAGAGTTGATGTTGCGTCATCTAATTATCAGAATATTCTTCCAAAACTTGTCAAATCGTTTCCTACTCGTCTTAAAGAAAGATTCAGTAGTTTAAGTGCCGATTTTCAAGGACTCGGACTCGGACTCGGATAGTGGGGACTCGGACTCGGACTCGGACTCGGACTCGGACTCGAACAATGAGGACTCGACAATCTTAAGGACTCGGCCCGAGTCCAGACAAAAAACACATATTTTACCTACCGCAATTTCATTTTAAGAAGACGTAGTTTTCAGTTTTCAAGATAACGTGTCGAGAGTCACTCCAACTTGAACGCGCCGCCTCGCTACGTATAGCTAGCCCTACGTGACGTGAACACGTACGGTCCATATTGTGTGATACGGATACTGTGCTCGGTGTAGGCACGGACGTCCGCGCCGCGAGTGCCCGTTCGGTTTCCTGACGAAAGACTCCCTAAGACTAATGAGACTGTGCCTAACTGGCACGTTCACTGGCCTGGTGGCTTGCATGACATGATTCATGTTAAATTTCTATATTGTACAGCTTTTTTTTTTTTTTAATTTGTACACCCTGCGAACATTCTCATACATTTATCTGCTAAAATATTTCGTGTGCTAGAATTTAAATGAAAATCTTTTGCAAAACGGATGTGTGAATTAGCTACGTACAGTTCGAGGTTTGGGCGCACGTAGCACGTACGCAGCACGCACGCGCACATACTGAGCAGTCTATCCGATCATCCCGCAGATCGTTGGCAACAGGTGTTCAACTTCTTGTCGACTGCCGAGGCTTCTAACTTACCATGCACCACTCCATACCACAGATCATGTCGGCGCTTTCCCAGTGATCAAGTATGGATTTACCAATCACAAGAAGTATTTGTGCCACAAAACGGGCAAGAAGAGACTTTCTGCAAACTGTAACTTTTGCAAAGCCACGATTTTCTGACATTAGTGATCATGTAACTACCTCCAACTTCATCCGTCATCTGCAGCGTGTACACAAATCCTGGTATAAGCTTGAGGAACTTCGTAAATGATGGGACAGATCCAGTTGCGGGGGGGGGGGTGGGCGTTTATACAATTCTGTGAAATATTTTACTAGTATACCCCATCAAGAGCACCAGTGGAGCGCATTTTCAGTCATGGGGGTATAATAATGCGTCCCCATCGTGCCAGCTAATCTTCCCGCATGTTGGAAATGCTTATGTTTCTAAGATGTAAGGAGCATGTTTTAGTTTAAATCTTAACTAAGCCAGAACATAATTTTCATACTTGTGACCGGTATGCTGAGTACAAGCAGCGACAATTTTCCAGCAACATTTTTTTTTAAGAGGATCGGAATTTGGGAGTTTAATATTTTTTTAATAGTTTTTTACACTTGAAAAGCCCTTTAAATCCTGAAGTTCACTTTAAAAAATATTGAGGGCGAAACCTTTATGAACTTGGTAAAAGTGTATAATACACATTACCTTTGACCTTTGCTTTGTATTAAAAGGGGTCAAACAATTAACTTTGTCCTGGTTCTCGACCACGATGATGTGTATTTGAGATTCACAAAAGGACTCAGACTCGGACTCGGACCCGGAGACAAGGACTCGGACTCGGACTCGGAAACCCAGGACTCAGACTCGGACTCGGATACCAAGGACTCGGACTCGGATACCAAGGACTCGGACTCGAACTCGGATACCAATGACTCGGACTCGGACTCGAACTCAGATACCAAGGACTCGGACTCGGACTCGGATACCAAGGACTCGGACTCGGACTCGGACTCGGATGGGGTGGACTCGACTACAGCACTTGTAGTTTTTCTAGGAAGCACTTGATAAAACATCTGAAAGAGTTCTATTTAGATAAATACAATGAGTTCATCTTTACTAATTTGAACTGTTATACATGTCTTAAAGTAGCAGGGCACTAAATATACATGTACCTCATTTATCTTTCTCATCAACATGTACCTCTTTATTTTATTTAATCTTGATAACTGTGCTTAAGTTAATGTAACTGTTTCACTATAATTTCATTATAATTCAATCTCAATGCAGTACTTATATCAGCAGTCTGGGTGCTCCGCTACAGGAGGGTTTTACCTCCTCTGGATGTAACCCCCATTTGCACGTATTTAATTTTATTGATTTATGTTGATCAACTTCTTGTAATGTTTTATGGAATTTGTGTGGTACAAATGGAAATAAACAAACAAACAAACAAACTTACAACACACAGGTGCAATTACAGCTCATAAAACAGTCCGGATGCAAAAGTGACAGATCGAATGTCTCGACGTTTTCCCGGAACACATGGCGGTACACATATATATTTATATATACATGTACACCGCCATGCTAACGGGTCCGCAGTACATGAATCGCAGCACAAATGCATATTTTCAACCGAACTATTTTCATTTGTTCCACGAAAGCTATCAAAACTGAGACTCCAAAATAACAAAAACTTGCTTTAATTAAAGGCGAAAATATTTAAGGCTAACGATACTTGATACAAAATGGAGACTTTAAGTCATGCACACCATTTATTAATGCACACCGTTCGTCATGAGGGGAAACAGCCAACATCCACCGTATCGCTCGACATCGGCTTATATTAGTAAAATTCGGAAATCACGCTACGCTGTATCGCTACAAGTAGAAGCGTGAAGACCTCGAAAAAGAAGAATGAAAATGGAAAATACATACAAAATTAAGAAAAGACAGGTCTGAATTAATTATAACTCGCAGAACTTTTTTTTCCAATTATGTTTGCGTGACATTTTGGCGACGTCGAAATGGACTGCAATTTCCTTGGACTACAATCTTGACAGGAATTATCGACAGTGCTTCCGCTTTCCAAAATTGAATTTCCTTAGGGTGGCTTTTTTTCCTGATATTTTCTGAAATTTCCTCAGAATTTTCTTGGATATACCTCATTATGTCCTTACATAATTTTAACTTTAAAGTTGTCGTATATGTGCTTTTTGGGTGTGGCACCTTGAAAAATAGATTTTCAAATTGAATCGATAATTTTCTAGCACTAGTTGTGAGCTTTCCAATGAGACATTGCACGAAACAAATCGTCCCACGACAGGTAGGCCTAATCAATTAATTAATTTCAACTTTCGAATTAAGAGCGGGACTCTCCTAATTCGTTCTGAATTAGTGTGCGCAATTTCTGAACTGAAGCGCACCATTTAAAACCACTTTTTAAAACTTTACAAAGTCCTGCAAATAAATTTATTTGTAACAGGACATAATTTTCCTTTAAATTTCATTCTGAAAAGAAAATCGGAATTTTGAAAAAGCACGTTTTATACCAACTTTTTTTAAAGTCACCACGGTATTTATAAAAAAAAAATTTTTTCTTATTTTCTATTTTCTCGTTTTTTCAAAGAAAGTTTCTTCGAAGCTAATTAGCTGCGTCCACTTCATCGGCATTCGCTGTCATATTTGCTTGTGCAGAATGCGGCTACCGCTCTTTCTCGTGTTGGTCATGGCCATATGGGTGCGGCCCCTCGAACCCTTGCCTCCATCACTGTTCCGTAGAGACCCCCAAAAGGACATAACGCGCGGCCAACGAGGTTATGTTTTCATCGGCGTTGGTTGGTTGGTTTGTGAACAAGATAACTCAAAAAGTTATTGACGGATTTTCATTGTCGGATTTTCATTGGAGCTGTGAGCTTGACACCTTGATTGTGATTGGTCAATATTAGCTGAGTCATGATATTAATATTAATGAGTATCGAAACTGGTCTCTGAAAAGATTCCCCAAAACTTTCTTCATTCTAATATACTTTTAAAATGATTTGAAAATGATTATATTTCAAAAAACCAATGCAAGAATGTGTGAAAAGAAAAACACTAAATTCTTGACATAAAATGACGAGAAATAAAATGAAATTTGTAACTGGTACTCGGCCCCATATGTTTTGTGCACAAACTGCCTGGATTGCTTGTCATCGTGACCCAAGACACATTGCGAATATCTTTTTTTTTCAGTTCTGAAGCCGTAGGGACATAATTACGCATGCGCTTTTGCGACAGTGTGAATAATAATCTCAACGGGTGTCGGTCACTTCGCCGAATTTCCAACTTCGCCGAATTTCCACTTCGCCGAATTACAACTTCGCTGAATTGTCAGTTCTCGCCGAATTGCCGCTTCGCCGAATTGCCACTTCGCCGAATTATCACTTCGCCGAATTGGCACTTCGCCCATTTGCCACTTCGCCCACGTCCATGTACGTGTTCATCTTTTCAACCGTGGACGAAATAGACCAGAGAACAAAAGAGAACAATATCGTCCGCTAATCCCACTATACGTCCGCGATTGGGGTCGTGTACAAAACCTATGGGAGTCTTCCTAAAAAGTCAGAGTACAATAGGACGTCCACGATCGTCGGTGAACACACGTTTGCGAGCATGTGCGCGGGCAAAGTGGCAAATGGGCGAAGTGCCAATTCGGCGAAGTGATAATTCGGCGAAGTGGTAATTCGGCGAAGTGGTATTTCGGCGAAGTTGCAAATAGGCGAAGTGGTTGTCGGCGACTGGAAATTCGGCGGAGGGACTGTAAAACATCTCAACACCACGTTTTAGCGACGCGTACGGGATACGTATTTGGCTAAGAAAAAAAAGTGATCTTTAAATCACCGTTTTGGGTAATGATTTCACCACACATGATTTCACTGGGAGTGTGCCCGATGAACGCAAATGGTGATTCAATACGGGACTTTTTCCCAGCCGCATGCATACTGCTTCCGTAGACGCACCATTTCTAATGGTCACTAACTAACCGTATGTGCATGCACACGTACGTCCCCAGG